TAATGTGGATCCCTTAGAGTTTATTCTACCTGAAGTTCATTGAGCTTCATACATTTGTAGATTTTTAACGTTTTGCATCCAATCTGGGAAGCACATGCACGTTATTTTTCATGTACCTTTTTGGCTCTGTTCTCTCTTTCACTCTCCTTCTGGCACTCCCTTTATGCACTTGATGGTGTCCCACAAGTGTCTGAGGCTCTCGTCACTTTTCTTTATTCTTTTTTTCTGTCTGTTCCCCAGACTGGCTAATCTCAACTGCCTTATCTTCAAGGTCATTGATTCTTTTGCCTGCTCGGATATGCTATTGAGCCCCTCTAGTAAATCTTTCATTTCAGTTATTGTACTTTTCAACTCCAGAATTACTATTTGATTCTTTAAAAAGTAACTTCTGTCTCTTTATTGATAGTTTCTATTTCATGATACATCATTTTCATCTTTCTTTTGACTTTTTTTTCAAAGTTCTTTGGACATATTTACAATAGCTGATTTAAATTCTTTGTCTAATAAGCCCAATATCTGGCTTCCTTAGGGATCTATTAATTTCTCTCTGCCCCATATATGATCCATATCAGTTTGGCTCTTTGCATGTCTTGTATTATTTATGTGTATATTTATTTATTTAGAGACAGAGTCTTGCTCTGTCACCCAGACTGGAGTGCAGTGGCATGATCACAGCTCACTGTAGTCTCTAGCTCCTGGGATCAAACAATTTCCTCACCTAAGCCTTGGGAATAGCTAGAATTACAGGCACATGCCACCATTCCTGGCTATTTTGTGGGTTTTTTTTTTTTTTTTTTTTTTTTTGGTAGAGACAGGGTCTCACTATATTGCTCAGGTTGATCTCAAACCCCTGGCCTCAAGCAATCCTCTCACCTCGGCCTCCGAAAGTGCTGGGATTACAGGAGTGAGCCAGCACACCCAGCCAGTAGTTTTTAAACAATATAATGTGGCAACTCTGGAAATCAGTTGTTCCCACTTCTTGAGGATTTGTTCCTGTTGTTTGTTTAGTGACTTTTTTGAACTAATATGGTAAAGTCTGTGTTGTCATCTGTGACCACTCAAATCCCTGTTCAATTACCTTAGTGGCCAGTTAGAAATTTCCTAAAATGCTTATAAACAATACCTCTCCCAGTCTTTACTGAGGGGCTCTGTGCATATGACTTTCACACTCAGCTAAGCCACCCACATCTCTGCCTTAGCCTTCACTTTCTGTTTGAACAGAGCCTCACAACAAGGCAGAGGTGAGTGCTTAGGGCCTTCTCAAGTCTTTCCCTAGCATGCACATAGCACTGTTTATGCACATGGCCTCCTAGATTCCCAGGAATATGTTGAAGCTTTTCAAAGCAACCTATGGACATCTCAGTCTCCAGTTTCTTGATTGGCCTATTGTTTTGCCCAACTATTATCTACTGCCTCAGGCAGCCATGATGTTGAGCAATCATCTCTAATTATTGACTATTTGCACTCATGAGCTCAGAGTCAGATAAAAAAGAAACAGCTTCTCAAGCAAGGATTTTCAGGGAATCACCAGACAAGTCACATAATGACAATTCTCTGGGAATGCGCCTTTGATCCAACCCCATTCTCTCCCCTCCAGAGGCTAGTGGGATGCTGGTTTTCACTGATTATGGAATGTTGGTTTGCAGGGTTACTACAGAGCTGGGAAATGGAAAAGAACAGGGCAAGTTAAAACACCACAGAACTCACTGGTCCCGAGATTTACCCATTTTTCTTGCTGGATTGCTACAAGACTGATTAATTTTCAGAGTTCTGAAAAGGCTAATTCTGACCATTTCTGCCAGCAATCTCATTGCTTTTATGGAGAAGAAGATTTTTGGAGGTTCTTTCTCCATCATTTTTTCCCCCAATGTCATTAGAAGTTAATACATGTAAAGCATTTACTACAATATTTGGCACATAGGGTTACATGTATGTGCCATTATTATTGTTGTTGTTAATTGAGAGGCCACATATGAACTCACTTCCTCCCTCTAGAGAAGAGTGGTCCCAGGGAGCACAAGAAGGGCAGATAGGGAAAGAGAAAGATGTCCATTTGCACAGAAAAGAGAGGTAAAAAGGCAAGAACATACTTTGGAAGATTACTGAGGGAAAGGTAGTGCTGTGTCACAAGCATGGGAGGTATGGTTCATGGCTGGTTAGGCTAAGAAGGCAAAGAGGTAGATCCTGGTCAGGCTCAAGCTCAAGCAATGCCTGTTGGTTCCCTGAGATTGGTCCAGTCACCTCTCACTAGCATGCTGCCCCCCTATGATTGGTCCAGTCACCTCTCACTAGCATGCTGCCCCCCTATGATTGGTCCAGTCACCTCTCACCGGCCTGTTGGCCCCCTGTGATTGGTCCAGTCACCTCTCACTAGCCTGTTGGTCCCTTGTGATTGGTCCAGTCACCTCTTGCCAGCCTGTTGCCCCCCTGTGATTGGTCCAGTCACCTCTTATCAGCCTGTTGGCCCCTGTGATTGGTCCAGTCACCTCTCACCAGCCTGTTGCCCCACTGTGATTGGTCCACAAACCTCTCCCAGCCTGTTGCCCCCCTGTGATTGGTCCAGTCACCTCTCACCAGCCTGTTGCCCCCCTGTGATTGGTCCACTAACCTCTCCCAGCCTGTTGCCCCCCTGTGATTGGTCCAGTCACCTCTCACCAGCCTGTCTCTTCCTTGTGTGGACTCTGTTCACTGCCCAGCCCTCTTCTCTGACTTTAAAATGCAGATGGTTCCAGAGACGGGTGAACAGGACTGTAACAGCACGTCTCTGTGCATGGTCCCTGAAGAAGCTACTCGCCCTGCCCTGCCCTGCCCTGCCCAGGGGAGTTGGCTGGAGGCTGTGCCTGTTTACGGGTGTGCTCAGCAGTGGCCAAGGGACATGGGCATCCGGGCTATGCGATACCCTGCAAGCACATGCTCACACCTGTCACCCTCAGCACCGGGACTTGGTGTTTCTACAATAGCTGGGTACCTACGAGTCTTCTGGGTGCCCAGTTGGGGTGAGCAAGGGAGGGGATCTCTGGAGCAAGCAAGAGGGAAGGAAGAGGGAGCAGAGACATGGGAGGATGGGGTCTGGGCTCTCTGACCCACAAACAGACTGCAAGATCTTTGGGGACTCAGCCTGAGTGTCCTTGAAGGACAGGTGTCAAGGAACATCCAGTCTGATAAAAGATGGAATAATCCTGAAAGCCAGGTGGGACATCACACTGACATCACCCTGCTCCACTGCCACCGTGGATGGGCGTCCGTAAGCCCGGGAAGGGATCTTATGTTGCTGAGAGTCAGTCCCATATTTTATAGAGGAAGAAGCCGAGGCTGAGATGAGCTTCGTCCTCCCTGGAGGGTCATTTGGAGGGTGGTAGGCAATGGTGACAAGATCCCTGGCTGCCTGGTCTCCATGTAGCCCTCTTTCCTCTAAAGTGCTGTATTGAATCCAGAGGCCTCCGCATTTGCAGAATAGAGGCTGGCCACGCAAATACCAGGTACTCCTGAAAAGGAGCTTACCTTTGACATGTGGTTTGGTCACATGGTAGGAAATTGAGGAATATGCTTAAATGACAGGGTGAGGAAAATGCTTTGACATGGTCTTTTAAAATGCTGACAGGGTCTGAGCTAAGGGAGGAGGCACAGAGGACTGAAGTCCTGACAAAAGTGTGGGTGGAGGCTGGGCACGGTGGCTCATGCCTCATCCCAGCACTGTGGGAGGCCAAGGTGGGCGGATTGCTTGCAGTCAGGAGTTCAAGACCAGCCTGGCCAACATGGCGAAACTCTGTCTCTACTAAAAATACAAAACTTAGGCTGGTGTGGTGGCACCTGCCTGTAATCCCAGCTACTGGGGAAGCTGAGGCAGGAGACTCGCTTGACCCCAGGAGGCAGAAGTTGCAGTGAGCCGAGATCGCACCACCACACTCCAGCCCAGGGAACAGAGCGAAACTCTTTCTCAAGAAAAAGAAGGTAGGGGGAAGGTGGCTCACCCACAGCCATGTCCTGCTTCATAGACATTCAACCTGTGCAGCTGCCCCAGGCCCAGGGCCCGCAAGGGTCCATGCTTAGTTTCATGCCCTGCTGTCACTGCCTTGAAATCCTCGGTAATTTGGAGCAGGGAACCCTGCACTTTCATTCAGCACAGGACCCTGCAAATTCACCTGTCTAGTCTCCTCTCCTGCCTCAAGTCCAGGAACGACCCCGCCAGCCTGATAGGTGCCCCCAGCTTGAGCACACAGAGCCACTCAGCCTGTCGTGGCAGGGAGGGAGTGATCAGGTGGGGCCCAGAAGCCCCCGGGCTGGTAGAGCCAAAGTCCCTTTCTTGAGCCTGCTCAGCTGTCTGCTCTGGGCGAAAAGCCCCAAGGTCCAGCCAGACAGAAATAGCTGGGACAAGCGCCCTCGTCTTATAACCCAGCTCCGGCCACCAGCACAGCACATGCGATTCAGATTGTCTTCCCTGGGCAGAAAGGGCTGGGTGGCTGCCCTGTTCTAGGCAGACAAACCTGCCTTCCTTCGCGTGGGCAACTTTGCTGGGGAAAGATGGGGAAGGGCGGGAGGTGGGGATTGGGAGGGAGGCTGGGTACGTTACCCCCGGGCAGGGTGATGGGCCCGCAGGTCTTGCTGTCGTCCATGGGGATGCGCTTGGTACAGATCCGCCAGAGGCCGAAGTGGGCCGCCTCGCAGGTGGTGTTGTGGTGCTCCAGGTGGGGGCTCAGCACAGCCCAGTGGTCGGTGACCACGGCCGTCGTGGCCAGCACGATGCCCGCCAGGATGCAGAAGAGGGTCACGCGGACCTTCAGCATTTTGGTCTGGGACATGGTGGTCGCCGAGGCGTGGGTGCCCTGGGCAGGGTCCGGTGGCTGCGTCTCCTAGGGCAGGTGACAGCCGAGCTGGGGGGGTGGCAGCGGCTGTTGAGCTGGGAGTGGCCGCTAAGTTTAGTGTGGCCTGGCTGAGCCAGAGTGGGCTGGCCTTGCGGCTGAGGGACGCTGGACATGCTGAGCAGCTGCCCAGACGTGTCAGGGGCCTGAGGGAGGCTGCTATTAATGCCCGTCTCCAGGCGTGGCATCGAGGACAGCTTCTGCTCAGGTTTCAGGGGTTTCTGTCCCTCTGGGAGCCAGAAGTACCCTGGTAGGGGGTCAAGGAGAGAAGGCTCTGGGTGGTAGATTGAGGCCTCTACGGAGTAGCAGCTCAGGGTGTCTGAATTGGGAGGGAGTGGGCAGCAGGGGCTGGGGGTGGGGACCTGCCTGCTCTGGGCTGATGGGAAAGGGCAGCCCAGGGCAGGGGAGGAGACCAGAGCTGCAGGCTGCCTGGCCCTCCTGGGCTCCCACGGGACAAGTCTGTCACCAGCGGGGCAGTGAGTAGGTCTTCATCCTGGGATCTGGGGAGCCTAGGACTCTGTTTAGGGACATCCCAGGGACCTCATCCAGGACCTCTGGAGTCTTCCTCTTAGGGAAGTGTTTTAGCCACAAACTCCATGGCCTCTCCCAAACTGTGGGAAGATTATCGGTGGTTCCCAGGCCTGGCCTTTCCTAGCTCTGACCCCTCCATGAGAACATCACTTCCTTCTCAACTCTCTTTCCATACCCGGAACTGGGTCCAGAGCAAAGCTGTACTGGGGGTCAGTGTCTGTATTGCCCGCAGCGTGTCCCTGAAACCAAGAGAGAACGGCCTGAAGAGGACGAGGAATCCCGTTGGACTTGGTCATTCTGTTTTCGGGGTACTCTGTTTGGTTTTGCCTTCTATTAACAGCAGGTGATAACGATTTTTATTTAATTTGCACACACTTATTTAATTTGCAAAATAAGTGTGTGAGTAAAAAAGAACAAATAGGTTGATTTACGGGGGATAATTAGGAGGCTTGTGAGTGCTTAGACATGGCAGAGGACATAGAAAGCCTGGGTCCCAGGTTCCTGTGAGCCTGGCTTCCCTCCAGGGGTCCCCAAGGCTCTGGCCCCTACATCCCTCCGGGGTTGTGCCGTCTCTTCTTTCTCAGCTCACCGGGTAGCCCTTTTTGGTCTAGCTGAGAGGCTGATGCATGACCAGGAACAGCCTCCTGAGATGGCTGGGGCCTTGAGTTTCAAAATCCTGGCCTCAGATTGACACGGTTTACAGAGACTCTCCACATGTGGACAGAAACGTTCCAGCCTCCCGTCTTGGAATCCCAGAAAGTTCATGGCGATGATAGTAGCAATGGCTCATCTTCAGCGAGGGCTTCCTATGGACCAGGCACTCTGCTAAGCCTTCCCTCAGCATCACAGTTATTCTCCACACCAATCCACAAGGGAGCTACAACTCTTACTGCATTTCACAGATAAGGACAAGGAAGCTCAGAGACATGACGCTACTTGTCCAAGGTCACACAGCGGGAAAATGAGGAAGCCAGGTTTCAGAACCCAGAACTCAGTCTTAACCCATGGTTTGAACTGGGAAGAAGCTTCAAGATCTACTGTGACAGATTAGGAATCTGCAGCCCAGAGAGGAGATGTGACAAGCCAGGGCCACTTGGTGAACAGCCCCAGGGATGAGCAGAACCCTCGTGTCTCCAGCCACCGGCTTGTGGTTATGGCAGTTCCATCCAAACTTTCATATTTTAAAAATCAGTCTCTCATCCAGATTACGATCTCCCGAGAGCTTTTCTCCCCACTGTTCTTATCTCTGCCCCCTTCCTCCCTGCCCCCCCCACCTCTGTGTTCCCAGTGGGCGCTAATCCATCACAACTGACTGATGGCTGACTGACTGCTGACACCTGCCGCCGCCCCTGCCTCAGCTCGCGGAGGAACTGCCTGTCTCCAGGTGGGTGGACTGTCTCCATGGGGAACTCCCAGAAGCTGGGATATGGTCACAGCTTTTCAGCCCTCTCACGCTGCTTGTGGGGGCCCAGCTTCAGGACCCTGGTACCTGGGGACCTCAGGGGGTGCTGGACAGCTTGAACAGACCTACTGAGTGCCAGGCACCCCAGCAAAGCAGTAACCAGGGAGCCAAAAAAAGGTTCCAGTGTTTTAAGACAAAATATCTCGAAAGAAGCTATTTAATTTTAGCATTACAAGTAAATACAGTGTCACTCGGAGAATAAGTGTCTTTTGAATTTCCTGGTGTGGTGGTGGCGGGGGGATGCCCTAAGATTTTCTGTGCCAAGAGCCTCTGACAGCCTCGGAAAGCAGCCTGAGTGGGCTCAGCCCATGGAGTACACCAGCGCCAGCCATGGAGACGTGGCAGGCCCATCAAAGATGCAAGCCTTGGCAGGGGCAGCCACCGACAACCTCTGCTGCTCTTTCCCTCGGTGGGGGCAGGTTTGTGCCCCACGCGGGGGTCCAGAGTCCCCCGCCCCAGTGCAGTGAAAGCATGAAAGATTGATGGCCTCTTCCTTTTGAAGTCATCTTTGTGTAAATCACACCACGAGGCCGGCAGCTGCAGCTGCTGCAGGCAAGTCCACGCTCTCTTCCCTGTTTACTGAAAGCTCCTTCAAAGACGCCTTTTCTGCTCACAGAGGCACTGCTGGGCTGCCTGCCTGGTCCCCCAAGGGCCTGGCAGGGCCAGGAAGGGACTTCAGTAGTCACAGGCATTTTCTGGGAGTTGAGCAGGGCGACATCCATGTCCTCACCCTTTCCAGGGCAACAGGAAGGGGCGCATCTCACGGGGCAGCATGTGAGAGGGAGACCAAGCTAGTGGGTGATGGAGCCAGCCCCAAGCAGATCCCCGCACTGCCTGTCTCCAGCTGTGCGGCTTCCAGCAAGCCATGAGCCTTTCTAAGCCGCCCTTTGTGAAATGAGGGCCACTGGCCTGGCTGCGGAGGGGATGGAAGGGCTGGAGGGAGTGCCTTGGACCAGCTTAGCCACGGTAGGCGCCATGGGCTGAATCGTGTTTCCCCCAAGTTCATATGTTGAAGCCCTAACCCCTAGTGTGATGGTGTTTAGAGATGGGGTCTTCGGGAGGTAATTAAATGAGCTCAGAGGGTGGGATCCTTGTGATGGTGGCAGTGGCTGTATTAGTCTGTTCACACACTGCTAATAAAGACGTGCCTGAGACTGATAATTTATAAAGGAAGGAGGTTTAATGGACTCACAGTTCCACATGGCTGGGGAGGCCTCACAATCATGGCGGAAGGTGAAGAAGGAGCAAAGACCACGTCTTACGTGGCGCCAGGCAAGAGAGCATGTGCAGGGAACTTCCCTTCATAAGACCATCAGATCTTGTGAGAGTTATTCACTATCATAACAGCAGAGGAAAGACTCACCCCATAATTCAGTTACTTCCCACTGGGTCCTTCCCAAGACACAGAATTAGTAAAGATGGGGTTTCACCATGTTGGCCAGGCTGGTCTTGAACTTTTGACCTCAAGTGATCCATCCGCCTTAGCTTCCCATCCTTCTTGGCCTCCCAAAGTGCTGTGATTACAGGTGTGAGCCACTGCACCCGGCCTAAAGATTTTCATACTTCTTTTCATGAGGATCTGAACGATATCATTAATATTATTTCTTTAGGGGAAGGTCAAAGTAAAAAGTGGCAATTTAAAGAAAAAGGGGAAGCAGGCCAGGCGAGGTGGCTCCCAGCCCTCCTCAGACCCTCCTGCCCCCTCTTTCCCTTACAGGGACTCTGTCCTTCTATCTGGGCCCGCCCACATAATCCAGGATAATCCGAGCATCTGAAGTTCTTAATTTAATCATGCCCTCCAAGTCCTTTTTGTCATGTAAGGCCACATATTCACAGGTTCCAGGGATTAGGATGTGGACATCTCAGGGAGTCACCATTCTGCCTCCTGCAGGCACCAATTTACAAATCACTTGATTTTCTCTGATGTTACCATGCGGCTCAGCTGCAGAGATGGAGAAAATCTGAAAGGTAAGATTGGAAGAGGGTTGGGGATCTTCCAGGAGACAAAAGGTAGAAGGAGAAGAGCCCGAGGGAACTGAGATGTTGGCAAAGGCCTCGCCGTGTTCTGGACTTTAGGATGGCCCTGAAACCAGGAAGCATTGCGATTGGGAGAAGATGGAGGGGCCAAGACCTGGAGGCTTGGCAAGGTTGTAGAACAGGTGTCATGGTGCAGAGGGCATGCAGGAATTGGGAGCATTGGAAACTGTGACCAGCGAGGAGAGTGGTGGCCCTGAAGATTACACTGGGACAGTTAGGGGCAATGACAAGGTCAAGGTTGGAGACAAAGGTCAATGGAGATGAGAAGACTGGAGAGCTCTGTGGTCAGGGAGCCAGAGTGGTTGACCCCATGGACGTCGATGTGACCAAGAACCTAAGGTCTTGGCCCAGAGCCAGCATCAACCACCAGACATGAGTTAAATGAGTACCTCCAGATGATTCCAGCCCCCAGCCTTGGAGTCTTCCAGTGGAGGCCCCAGGTAGTGAAGCAGAGAAAAATCATCCTAGCCCTATCTTGTTCAAGCGGAGACAAGAGTCTTTGAGTATACTGAATGGTTGTTTAATACCACTATGTTTTCAGGTAGTTTGTTACACAGCCCTACTGACTGGTACGCTAGGCAGCTGGAGGGAATTCTATTTTGGGATGCAGAGAATGGCTAAATGTATGGTCTGGTGGGATGAAGCAGGCTCAGCCTTTGGCGAGGAGAGCAGTATGAAGCTGCTGCTATAGAGCAGTGAGGGGAGTGGGGGCAGGTGGAGGCTGAGGGTGCTGTCCCCACAGCCCAGACACTCAGGCTGCATATGCGGGCAAGCTCCTGGCTGGGTCTGGAGGTAGACAAGAAGGCCCGATCTTTCCATCAGCCTCTGGGTGTCCCGTAGGAGTGAATGTGTCCCCAGAATACTTATCAGGGGACAAAGGTCAGGTGTAGGTCCCTCCAAGCCTCCTCTCCTGCAGCTCTAACACTGCCATTAGGGGGATGTTACCTTTCTCGTGTGACTGAGGAGGGAATGGACCCTAAGCACATAAGGATGTGGGTTGGTAACCTCTTTGATTGCAGGATTTCTGTTCTTGAGGTTGCACCAGGAGTTTTGTTGAAAGCTGCAAGTTTAAAATGATCTGCCTCAGGTATATCTGCCCCATCTTCCACCCTCTGGATTCTAAAGTCCCTGAGCAACCATTTCTCCCCTCCCATCCCTACCGCGCTCCCAGATCTCTAGGGAGATCTGGGCGATGAGGGAGGGATGCTGTCTTGGGTACCAATGCAGGGAGTTGAAGGCTCAGAACATGCCTGGTTCTCAGCTCCCTGCAGAAAGGTCTCCCTTGCTTTCTTACTTCCCATCCATGCACCCCCTTTCTCCCAGGCTCTTCCTTGATGCCAGTTCCTATGGTTTCATGTTAGGGACCCAGAACAGGGCACCTTGCAGCCTGCATCACCTTCATGGAACCAGGAGGGCCCCAGCAGGGTTTGGGGGTTGCCAGGGCCTGCAAAGAAAGCAGCCACACAGCTGCCCTGACCACCTCTGCCCGGCAGCCTGGGACACTGAGGGTGAAAACAAATGAGCTTCAGCACTAGAAGGAGCTGGCAGCAGGGGCTGCTCCCAGGTGCAAGACTCAAGAATGGATGGCAGGTTTCTGCCAAAGCAAAGCAAAGCGCAGTGCGCCGGACATCCTCCGAGTCTGATTCTCAGAGCACTGCCTCCAAGGGCTCTTCTAGAATAATCCGCTGTGGGAAATTCCTTGAGTATTGTTTGTCGACAAACATTTCTGAACACTCACTCGAATGCTAGTCACTGAACTGGGGTGTTTACGTGCATTTCCTTGTTGAAAATTTAATTCATTCTCCCAACAAAGCGGGCTGGGGGATGTCTCAGAGGAGGGAACAGGCTCTGAGAGAGGCTGGGTGACTTGCCCAGTGCTGCCCCTTGGAGTGGAGGAGCTGGGTTTTGACCTCCACCCTTCTGGACTTCTACCACCTCACTGCAGCTGCTGGGCTGTTGGGGGAGCAGGGTGAGTCCCTGTGTCAGGCCGGGCCAGGCTTCTGGGCTTGCTCTCCCGATGCCTGTTCTGATTGAATTCCATCATCATTCTGTTCCCAGACACAGGGACACAGACTTCCAGGAACACCCCCGTCCCCGGGGACGGGGGCCGTTTCCCATTCCTTTCCCCCAACTTCAATGTCTGTTTCTGAAACTGTTGTTTCAAAATGAAGAAGCAAAAGGCAGAAAGCTAAATGGGTGACAGGGAAAGGAGATGCTGGGATTAAATATATGCATCTTCCTAGTAAGCCCACAGCCTGGATATACTCAGCACCAAAAACTTGCCACATAATCATGCATGAGTAGCATCACCCTTTCCGTCCCTCAGTTTCCCTCAATGTTGAATCAGGTGAGTTCAGGGCTTCTCAGTCTCGGCATGATTGATATTTGTGGCAGATTATTCTTTCGGGGAATGAAGCAGGAGGGCTGTTTGGTGCATTGTAGGATACTTAGTAGCATCCTCAGCCTCTGCCCAATAGATGTCAGCAGCACCCCCTTTCAAGTTATGAAAACCAAAAATATCTCCATGTATTAGTAAACTCCCCTTGGGATGCAAAATTGCCCCTACTTGAAAACCACTGGGCTAGAAATATCTCCCTTTCAGGGTTGTTATGAAAATTCTCAAAAAATTATTTTCTTCCTTCCTTCCTTTCATTTTTCCTTCCTACTATCCCCCTCCTTCCCTCTTGGGGCCTGATCCTTTTCTATAATGATCAAATGTATGCATTTTTCTGCCGGCATCTTGATCATGGATATAATGATCAAGTTGAATGAGATGACTCCTCAAGTATCTGCCACTTCTGCTGAGCATGATGTTCAATAATTCTGTGATTCTGGTTTGGGTCTAGGCACAAGCTCAAGACTGTTCCTCCAACCTGGGTTGAAGGTAGTATGGACCCATGTTACAGATGGGGCATCTGAAGCAGAGAGAGGTCAGATGTCACGTTGGAGCTGAAGGAGGGGCTCAGGACACACAGGTTGATGCAGTCCCAGGCAAGGCTATCACTGTAAAGTGGGCATGCCCAAAAGAGTTTGGTGGGGGGAGGCCAAGGAGGGAGTTACCGAACAAAAGATAGAGATCAGGGGGCTGTTGCTGACCAGCTCTTCCCCAATCTGTTTTCCTTTTCCCCAGGATTAGACTACATTTCCCACCTTCCCTTGCTC